ATGCTATTTAGCAGTTGCTTTTTTAAAAGTATTTTTGAGACACTGAAATTTAAAAAAATTTTAATTAGGAATAAACTGTTTTTACTTTTATGCATTTGAACTGCTCATTCTCATCTTTGACAGTTTCTGCTTTGGCCAAAAAGTGCTGGAAGGATTTTGAAACCCCAGGATCAGCAAACTATCTACATCATTTTAAAAACATATCTTCTGTGATTTCATCTTTTTGTTTTTACATTTTTTGGGTGGGTGAAGTTTGAGACAGGGTCTCTCTGTAGCCTTAGCTGGTTTGGAGCTTGCTATGTAGACCAGGCTTGTCTCAAACTCACAGAGATCTACCTGCCTTTGCTTCCCAAATGCAGGGATTAAAGACGTGTGCCACCACATCCAATTTTTGTTTTAACATTAACTCTTTTGATTTTTAGACATTTACTGCAGCCTTTGGTATAAGGTAGAGGAGATAATTTCACTTTTTCCTAATTACTTGAAACTACTCTGTTGTTTCATACTCCACACATACTTAGATCCATTTCTAGATTTCCTTTCCATTTTAGAGTTTGCAATCCATTGCTCTACCAGTCCATTATGATAGCTTCATAATATATTTAAATCTATTGATATATTGTTTTTTACAATGTTAATCACATTTTGCCCCATTACTCTTACATATATTATTGAACATCAATTCATCAATTTTTTTTTTTTTGTCTTTTTGAGACAGGGTCTCCCTGTAGCCCCAGCTGTCTTGGAACTAACTATGTAGACCAGGCTGGCCTTAAACTCACAGAGATTCGCCTGCCTCTGCCTCCGGAGTGCTGGGATTAAAGGCGTGCACCACCACACCCGGCCCAATTCATCAATTTAAATTTTTTTTTATTTATTATTTTTATTTTATGTGTATGAGTGTATTGCCTGCATGTATGTGAGTGCACCTGTGTCATGTAATGCTGTGGAAGTCAGAAGAGGGCTTCGGATTGCCCTGGAACTGGAGCTTAGGACAGTTCATAGCCACCATGTGGGTGCTGGGAATCGAACCTGGGTCCTCTGCAAGAGCAGTCAGTGCTCTTAACCACCTAGCCATCTCTCCAGCCCCTAATTCATCAATTTTTAAAATTGATGTATGAACTAGTATTTCACTAGAGTATAAATCACTTTACTTTATTAAAATACCACACAACACAGATCTAGTCTCTCAATATTTAGAACATTATTGTGTAGCAAATTTCTAAAACATTTTTATTTTGTATGACTGCAACTCTGAATCCATTCAACATTAACTCTCCTATGCTCCCAATCCCTTGCAACCACCATTCTGTATTCTGTTGCTATGGGTTTGAGTATTTTAGATGCTTATATAATTAGATTATATAGTATTTGCCTTTCATAACTGGATTGTTTTCATTCAGTGTAATGTTTTCAACATTGATCCACTGTAGCATAGAACAGGATTTCCTTCTTTTCTATAATTAATACTTCATTTAAAATAGCATGATTTCTTTGTCATTAATCTGTTGATGGACATTTAAGTTGTTTCTGATCTGTAGGCTATTATTAATAATGCTGTAACGGAAGCAAATGTCTCTTTGCTATCCTGGTGTTCAAAGCTTTGGGATAAATATCCCAGAAGTAGAATTGTTGATCATGTAGTCATTCTATTTTTAATTCTTTGAGGAACCTCCACAATTTTTTCTACACATCACTGGCACCATTTTACATTCTCACCAACTATACTCATGGGTCCCAGATTCTCCCCATACTTCCTGACACTTTTAAAATCTGTAGTGGTCCTCCTACCAGGTGTGTTGGGCTACCTCACTGTTGTGACTGGTGTTTCCTTATTGATTAGTAATGTTGAGCATCTTTTGATATATCTGTTGATCATTAGTGTGTTTTTTCTTTATATAAAATCATGTAAATTTCTTTTCAAGGCACTACATTTTTCTGAATAAGTACACAACATATAAATTAATAATGTCATTGGCATTATTTTCTCCCCAATACCTTCAATTATGTTACTTCTAGAGGGGTACAATAATAGAAAAGCAAACTTTTATAAAGACTGGAGACAAAGACAGTTCCAGTTAGGACAAACATCAGAAGTGAAAACATATCAGTATGCAAAAGCACAGGGTGTGTTTGGAACATATCATCTCTTGGGCTGATCATCGAAAGGGCACAGAAGGAAAGTAATAAAAGGTGGCCGTGAATGGTTAGAATCAATTACTCTTGGGAGGCAGAGGCAGGCTGATCCCTGTGAATTCAAGGGCAGCTTGGTCTACATAGTGAGTTCCAGGCCAGCCAGGTCTGCATAGTGAGAACTTGTTTTTTGTTTCTTTGTTTTTTAAAACAACAAAACAGAAGAAGAAAACAGAAAAAAAAAAAAAAAAGGCTGAAATTAAACTGGGTAGAGTCTTGATTCATCTGAAGTGGGGAACCATTCTATTTTGAGTCTAAAAGTATATAAAATGTCAGAGGGCCTGAGGGTATGACCTAGAGGTGAGAGATGAGTTGGGATGCATAAAAATTCTCCAGGAGAGCTGCCTTAAAGCCTCTGTGAGCTGTGTAAGCAGGAAAGCAAAATATGGAATGACAGTGAAAATGACTTAGTTGATGGTCAGAGAAGAACCCAGGAGGAGCACAGAGCTTCACAACCGAATGACTGAAAGTTATTAAATCTTTGATAGAAATAGGGGAGAAGCTAGGGGAGGTGTGAGAAGCCTGACTGTACATCTACTGAGAACATACAGACTTATCAGGCAGAGTAGGGGAGACAATTAAAGAGCTCATGAGTTCGTGAGCTTTCTACTGTATGGAATTACAGTCTTTCTACTGGAACTTTATTCTCCTTTCATTGGTGCCTAGGAGACACTGTCCTTTCACGGCTAGTGACCCAGGAGTCCCAACTACACTTTCTTTTGAGGCTTTCTCTTTCTGTAATGATTGCTATATTTTTTCAACAACTAACAAAAGCCCTTCTTTCTTCTCAAGGTGAGGGCTGCTTTTTCTTGGTTTAATAAGAAGGAATGAAAAGAAAATTGTGCTCAGATACATTCTAATACGAGTATTTATTTCTAACTGCAAATATAAATTCTAAGCAAAGAGAATGGGTATCTTTCCAAATTCGTTGTCTCTAACTTGTTCTCAGATGCATTATTGGCAGACTTTTGGTTATTAAGTTCGAGGGCAGTTTGTTATATATATATAATGAGTTTCAGGCCAGCTTGGGCTACACAATGAAATCTTGTCTCAAAAACAAACAAACCAACTGTGCTGGATAGCTTTAATCGTCAACTTGACACACCTGGGTAGAGAAAGCATCAATTGGTCAACTGCCTCCATTCGACTGGCCTGCTGTCATGTCTGTGGGGCATCTTCTTGATTATTGAGTGATGTGGGAGGGCCCAACCCTCTATGGGTAGTGCCACCCCTGGGCAGGTGGGCCTACGTTATATAAGAAAACAGGGAAGCAAGCCAGTAAGCAGTTCCTGCCTCTAGATTTCTGCCTTGGGCTCCCTGATGAACTGTGATCCGGGAGATGTAAGCTGAATAAACCCTTTCTTACCCAAGTTCATATTGGTCAGAGTATTTTGTCACAGCAATGGAGAAACAAACTAGAACACCAACAAATAAAAACAATGGAATTAGAGAGATGGCTTAGCAGTTAAGAGTGCTTACTGCTCTTGCTGAGGACCTAGGTTTAGTTCCCAGCACCTACACGGTGGTTCATTGCACCCTGTAACTGTAGTTCTGGGGATGGGACACCCTCTTCTGGCCTCTGTGAGTTTCTGAATGCACAGAATGCACAAAAACTCATGTAGGCAAGCACATATATACATGAAATGAGTAAATAAAAATAGATCTTTTAAAAGGTCTTTAAAATCTTTAAGGGAAGATTGGCAACTAGTGTTTCAATTTCTTCAACTTTGTTTGGTACCTCAGAATCTAGTTTTTTTTTTTTTTTTTTTTTTTTTTTTTTCTCTGTAGCCCTAGCTGGCCTGGAACTCACTATGTAGACCAGGATGGCCTGGAACTCACAGAGCTCTGCCTGCCTCTCCTCTGCCTCCTGAGTGCTGGGATTAAAGGCGTGTGCCACCACGGCCAGTCTAGACCTAGTTTTAACTATAACCAGCTACTGAATGGATCTAGAGATTAGACAACCCCACAATTTGGTCATAAGGCAACTAGGGGTCTGTCAAGCTGCATTCTAGGCTGGACTGAGATTCCACAGTCTTGTGCCTTTCTTTTTTTAATTTAAAATTTTTATTTTTTAAAGAATTTCATACATGAGTGCTACATTTATATCATTTTTACCCTTCCCTCTCCCTCTTCAATTCCTCCCATGTCTGTCTACTATCCCCTCTCAAATTCATGATGTTCTTTTCTTTAATTATTACTGTTACCTACATACATACACACACTGCTGAATCAGTCCATTTGGTGGTGCTAGCATATACATGTATTTAGGGTTGACCACATGGCATTGGATAACGTCTCAGGATGCTCATCCCTGGAGAAATCTGATCCTCCCTCTGTCTGCCTGTAGCTCTTCATCTAGGGGTGTGACCCTGTGAAGTTTTCCCCATCTGTATTGGCATGTCAACTGGTGTCGTCATCATTATGCAAGTCTTGTTCAGACATCCGTATTGCTGGGATTTCATAGGTAGAGCTTCCCTGTCATGTCTAGAAGACACTGTTCTGCAGCAGGCATCCCGCATCCTCCTGCTCTTACAATCTTTCTATTCCCATTTCCTTGATTTTCCCTCAGCCTTATGTATAGAGGTTTCATTGTCTTGTGTCTAACACTTCCCTTTCTAAAACCCAGCTGCATACTTTGGTTTTATGGCTGTTACCTATAAACTAAGAAGTCCGGGGAGCTTTCAGATGCCAAGTTGTACTGGAGATCCATCCCTCCATCTAGCCATCATCCAATTTTTGAATGCCAGCAATATGTCAGAGTTGGACCCCCGCCCCCGAGCAGTTCCCCACATAATGCAATTTCCTACCTGATCATAGTACCGTAGGTAATACTTCACAACGTAGTCCACCAGGTTCATTCCACTGTCCTAGGTTTAAAAGAGAAGCTCAAATGACAATTGTTCATGAGAGGCCCTGTCATGTTCCCCAGCTGAGAGCTGAAGTCTCAGTTTGTGATTCTTCTCATTTGTGAGACTGGGTCCTAATTCTGCTAATTCTGTTTCAAACTGACTAGATTTTCCTCCCTCCCTCCTTGGCCCATTAATTTTTTTTTAATGCCAGCTATAAAAAGAAATGACATTGCACTGTCTATTGTGGGAAGGAAAAAGAAAACCAAACAGATAATCCATGAGATGGCTACAACAAGTAAGCAAACAACAACAAAGTCCTTGCCTAATATTTTCTGGCAGGAAGCCAAGGCAGGAGAGGAAGCAAATACTGAAGGAAACTGAACTAGAACAGAAAACCATCCCGTCCTTCCCACCTTTCAGAAAATGTGTGCTCTTAATGGCATGAAAAACAATCAGGACCAGCTTAAAAGGAAAGCCATGCCACTTTATGACCCAGGGAGGCCAGGGAGAGCAGGCCCTCCCACAAGGCAGCCTTTGTGTCCTGTTCACAGGGGTCTAATTCTAATTTGCCTGTGTGTTTCCCTTCTCTGCACCCCATTGCCCCCCATGGGATGCCTAGATATGGGCTGGTTGTTTCTAAAGAAGTGGCTCTGCAGGGGTGTGGAGCCAAACGATAATCAGGCTCAGAGAGCTGACAGGAGACCCCGACCCAATTGTTGTGGGCAAAAGAATAATTCAAATACTAGGCTCGACAGTGTCTGCACTCCAAAATGAGTAAATTGCAAGTGGCCAACACTAAATTCCAACAGATCGAGCCTTTACAGTCTGACTGTACATTGCTTTATCTTTTATTGCAGTGGTAGTTCAACACCTAATCATGTTTATGAGAAGAGAAAGATTTCTGTCAATGAAACAGTCTAGTATGGAAAAACCTACTTTTGTCCAAGACAAAAGAAGCACTGACAAAAAATGCATGAATTTAAATAGATGATTGCTGTTAGGAGGAAGAGAGAGAAATGAAACAATCAGAAATATGTTGTTTTAAATTAAAGAAGTAGAAGGAAAATAATGGTAGGGCAAAAACACTCATTATAAGAAGTAAATAAATACCCGACTTTTGACGTCCTTGAGTTTGGGCAGAATTTCTAAGCTATATCCATCTGCTTGTCCTCGAGTCCTATTTCCTCCATTCATGTAATTTCCAAAAGCCAGAATGAGAGCTAAGATGTCCTTCACACTCTTCATGTGCAGCAAGGCCTGCAGCGGCAAACATCAGTTATCACGGTCTGAACTCACGCTCACGCAAAAACAAATGTTTATTGAGTAACCAATAGTCTGCCTAGTGGCTTGTTACCAATAATATTAACAGTTAGTAAAATGAAAATTATTCTTCACTAAGCCATAAGTATCTTAGAACAAAAAAAGTTAAAAGTATGAATAGCCACCATTCCCTACTCACTCGACAAAATTCTAACCAGTGTTCTGATAATATTGGGGGCTAAATCATGGTATTTCTACGTCCGTTTCAGTTAGTCTTCAGTTACTTTTGATACTTTAAAATATGTATGAATTGGTAACAGAAAGTGGAGTTGATTTTTGATAATGTCTATGTAGACGGATATTAAACATCTTTTCAGGATCCACTTTGGAACCATGCATCTGTACAGAAGTACAGTTACATTTAGAGTAGCTGCAGTCCTAGAACAGGTATTGTCCTCACAGGTGAATTATAATGATGCATTTTAAGGTCAGAGACTACATTTATTAATTTTTTTGCTGCATGTTTATTAACTTCTAGCATGTTAAGCTGCTTAGATTTCCTGTAGCTTTCTACCTCATTTGCTTTTCTTACTCTTTGCTTCAAGTGCAAATTTTCAAATGGAAACTCTCTCTTTATAATGTTAGGTGGATTTATCTTCATTTTTATTTGTGTGCGTGCGTGCGTGCGTGCATGCGTGTTTGTATATGTGGATGCTATGGCATGCATGTGGATGTCACAGGACAACTTGCTGGAGTTGTTTCTTTCCTCCTACCATACGAGTCCTGGGGATTGAGCTCAAATCATCAGGCGTGGTGGCAGGTGTCTTTTCCCACTGAGCCATATCATCAGCCCAGCTTTATCTTCTTTTATTTTAGGATAAAAAAGAAAAGCAAATTCATATCTAGGGAGACTTCTGTCCTGTCTCTCAGGGGTTATTAATATGTGTATGATATATTGATAATACCTGTGCCTTCCTCATGGAAAACCTTTTATATATTAGAAGAAAAAAGTCATGCCTCCTAGTAAGCAATGAAGTGCTGCAGTATTTGTGGAAAGCTTCATGCATGCTCTTAAGAACATGGTAACTGACAGTGAAGAGGTCGAAGGCTAGAATTTAGCTTTACCAAGTACACAGTGTGGTGGAATCAATAGAAATTTATTTGCCAGACACTTATGATCACAGTTAGCTATTTCAATTCTCCAGAATCTTGTCATTATATGAGTAGAAGATTTCAGGTGATTGAGTACATGGGTCCCAAATAAAATCTCTTTTATGATTTGGAGAGTTGAACAGGAAAAGAACTATGCTGTTTAGATTTTGCTTTTAATGGCCAGTTTGAAAAGTGCAAGATGCAAGATATTCACCACTTTTAGGAGAAATAAGTAAAAAATGTTATTCCCCTCCCTCTCTGCTGTCTCCACTTCCTTTCTGCCCCTGCCCTCTCTAAAGCTCAAACAGAACGAATACATTTCCTTTAGAACAACATTCAATGTAAAGTACAGAAGACTTTCTCTCAGGCGCTCCAGCAGGGTCTCCCTCACTTCCCAGGTCTTCCTTTACCCAAAATAGGGGAAAAGTCGTCTTTAAAGTAAATAGCAAGCATACCTTGGAGGCACGTGTGACAATCTCTACTTTTCGGTGTAAGGAAGTGATACCTTCAGAAAACACAGACCTGAAGATTATGCACTGGGAACGCTCAGCAAAATTAGGAATCTGGGCTAACTCGTGTAAAAATCTGTAAAACATAAAAATGAATCATTTTGCTTTACATGAAGGAAAGTAAAAAATAAAGGAATAAAGATCTACCATGAGAACATTCCTTATTTGACAATTTCACTTTAACAATTATAAAGAGTATCAGACAGGCTGACTCAGGACTACAAGGGTACTACACTGTTCTATTGTTGACAACAGAGTCACTGATGGTTGGTTGGGATGATGGTGAATGATGTATAGGAGCAGAAAGTCTATGTAAGTATACAGAAAAACAGTTATCTATGCTGCTCAAACAAGGGGCTGTACTCAAGTAGAAAGGCCTGGTCTTTAGTGCCTGAGAAAATGACAGTATAAACTCCCCTATAAAGCAGCATTCTCTAAAAGTGTATTAACATAGGCTGAGCAAAGTGGAGACTTCAGGCAAATGACTATCACCAAGTGATAATATAATTCCATTATTGAAGTAAGATTGCTACACTTTTTGCTCAATTACATAATAGCCTATCATGATCAAATTCTCCATATATTTGTTTACTTTTCATATAAATTTCACCTACATAAGTACAGTTTGCTCAGTACCTGGAACAAAGCAGACATTCATTAAGTAAACAATCTAAAGTTTCTTTCAAAAAGTATGCCAAGATAGTTCTTTAAAGTTAAAGGTGGGTACTGCTGTACACAGTAGCTCACTGTCTGAGTGGCTGGGCAGTGGTGTCCTTTGCAAAATGAAGCTGGAAGAGTTACTTGTGCTGGAAGCAACCACCAGAGGAAAGGATATAAACTAAAATGGGTGGAAACAGCTGGCTATAAATTCAGAAAGGGAGAGAATCCACTAAAAGTCATTAATTTCATTTTGGAGTTGAAATGATTACTGATATTTCTGAAAGTCTTAGTCAATTTACAATACCATCACCTTGCAATTTTGCAGTCTCTCACCAAAAGTGGTTTCATAGATGAACAAAGTTGGAACCCTCTCTATAAAAAAAAGGAAGAAGAAAAAGAAAAAGGGGAGGAGAAATAAAGGAGAGGGGAGGAGAGGGAGGCAGAAGAGGTAGAGGAGGAGGGAGAGGAGGGAAGGATGTGGAAGGGGGGAGGAGCAGCAGCAATAAGCATCCAGTTTGCTCCTCTACTGGCAGAGTCTGGTATGTAGGCCAGGCCAGCCTCAAATCCACGATCCCTCCTGCCAGTGCTAGAATTATATCCCCAGTGCTAGAATTATAGGGATATACCATTAGACCTGGTTCTAGCCTCCTTTCTATACTCAATTATTTTTCTTGCCATATACTCTGTGCCTTTTGCAGCTTGAAGGGAAATTTAGGGGATGTTTGTTTTTGTTTTGCTTGTTTTTGAAACACCTTATTCATAAACTGGCCTGAGACTTTCAATCCACCTGCCTCAGCCTTCCAAATGCTGGGATTATAGTGTACCCACCAAGCCCAGGAAAAATTTGAGTTTAAATAATTACTAGCTGTTTTACTTACTTACGTCCTCCAACCACGTTAGAGCCTTCCTTCTACCCACCCTATTATAATAGTACTGAAGTGGAGCATGGGTGACTCATAAAAGAAGACATACCCTTATTTTCAAGATCTGTAGCTGACTACAGAAGTAGAACCCCTATAAATTTTGGGTTGAGATCAGAAGTGAAAATCACTATCCCTGTGTAAACACTTTCCTCACAAATACAGTGCAGCATTAACCAACTGAGCCTTGGCTGGCACTGGGCAATCACCAGTTTTCACAAATATGCGACTAGTAAAATGCTCTTGAGACTGGCAGCAATTGGTGCTGTGATGAGTCCTGGGAAGATTTACTCATTCAGATGCTGAAAGCTATTTCAGAGAAGGTCCTGCATTTCTCCCCTTCCAAATGGCCATGATGTCATTCCCATGTAGGATCCAGAACTCTGGAGTAAGTGTATGTCCTACTAAAATGAACACAGTACTGAAGTGGTTATAGATCACACATGAGAGTGCAAACAGACAACATCTCGGTTCACTCACAAGGACACTGATGCAGGTAATCCTGGCAGATAAACCAGTTTTCACTAGTACTGAAGAGGAGCCATAGGAGCCATGTGAGGAGGCAAGACCAGGTGCTACTCAAGAAGGAAAAGAGTGAAAGCAGGAGGCTAAGATGAAAGACTTAGTAGGATTGGCCTTGCTTTGGGGCAGTTTCACAGAATCTCAAATTCCCAGTATCTTCTGAATGATGAAGAGGCTGGAGTGCTCACAGAGAGCTGGAAAGGAAAGGAAGTGCAGCAACTTGTATTGCTTTGGATAGAAATGCATGAAAATGAGTTCTAGTGCATTAGCCACTGATAATGTTAGATCTTCAGGTGCACATGAGCATTTACGGTATATCAGGAACACGCTAAGACCTGAGAACAGGATTTAGCTTACACGCAGTTCCTTCTTGATACTCTAAGAAACAATCCATGATTACCACCGAGTACGACAGGTACAATCAGTGATTGATGATCAGAGGTCACTGCAGGACACTGATGACAGAGGCCAGGAGGGGCAATGTTGGCTGGGGTTACTGAGCCTCATGGTGTGGGTGAGGCCCAGACTGGCAGAGCTGAGACAGGTCCAACAGTACCCCTAGGGAAGCTGGGTGAAAGTCAGGTGCTAAGGTGGGGGGGATTTGTATTCTGAAATGGAGTTTAAACTTTTTCTGAACAAATGAAAGGTTTTAAACAGAGATGTAACACAGTCTTTTATTTCACACAATCACCATAGCAGTGACTTGGCTGCCCGAAAACATTAGCAGATTTCAGGCTGGGAAAACTAGAAACTCATTGCAATAGACTTCCTAGAGGGAAAGACAGCTTATGGTAATAGTAGTAGAGAGGGAAAGGGAACGAGACAGTTGTGAAGGCTGTAAGACCCAGAGTGATTGACTAACCCCAAGGGATGTTAGAAGAGGCCAGGGTGGCCTGTGGATTTGGGGGCTTGGAAACATTTGGTAAAATGTGAAGACATAAAATACTGGAGAAGCAAATTTAGAAAAGAAGATAATGTGATTTTATGCTACTTAGAGTATAAAACTAACCAGGCAATGGCTTGAAGAAAGGTACCATAGCTCTCTTCTCATTTGTCTGGCAGAGTACAAGAAGGGAAAGCTACCTCAAAGGGTAGGAGAAGGAAGTGTCTGATAAATATTTCTACCCACACATCCTGTGTTTTATATTCTACCTACTATTGGGTAATATAAAGGATAATAAGCCTTTTCTATATCCCTAAGCATGAGATATTGAACACTGGGCCTTGGTACTTACAAATATTGATGGGCTATTTTCCATTAACAAGAAGCCACACATGAGGGAGCTTTCCTTCTTTGTGCAAGGTGGCTTATTTTCTCAGGAAGGACTGCAGTTTTAGCCTGTATCCATGAGAGAAGTTCTGTGGCTGGTATTGTGTGAGTTTTACAGGGGCAGCTCAGCCTACAGGTAGAATGATGTGATGTGGCCCAGTGTTTGAAAGAGATTAATGAGGTGTATCATCATTCCTGAAAACCTTGAGTGGTATTATCTAAGGTATCTGTTCACACAGGAGTTGTATCTATGGTATAATTTCACATTGTAACCTGTGTTCTAGAAAGGAGAACACTAGAGGTAGCTGTGATCATAGCGAAACATCCCAACTGGAAGGTACAGTGTCCTCATTGCAGACCATAGTATACCTAGCCAGGAGGGCCTCATTCCCTTTCGCCGTCTCAAGGCAGGACATCCCGGTGGCTCTCAGACAGCCAAGTCCCTAGCAGATGACACCTCTGTGGGAAATGGCTTTCTAAAACTGGCACTGGGGTATAAGAGAGTTGATGAGGTGAGTGATGAGGCCATCTTCTCCATGCTATGATTTATAGGAGTGGGCACCACCAGACTCTTAGGAAACTGAAATGCTAAACTCTTAATGATTCATATTTTCCAGTATGTAAAACATGTTTGCAGTCCACTCACTAGGAGTTAAGTGGCAAATAAACCGCCAGAGAATCGGACTCTGGAATAGATCAAACAGGCCTGCACAGAGGTAGAGAGCAAAGGGGAAATCTGTGCAGATCTAGGGGCCTCTGTCTCTCTCTGTCAGTCTCACCAGTGCCTAAGCCCAGCCTGTCATCTGAGGAGCACTACATAATGGGTCTCGGCCGTCAGTCATAACTGTTCAGTCTGCAGGAAGTAAGCACAAGGATCATCTAAAAACTTTAAAAATGCTGTTTTAGCTAGATCATCAGAGGGGGAAGAAAGAGGAATAATAAGCAGTGTGCTAATGAGCCACCCCATTATTCTCTGTCATGGCAATTAGTGTTGAGACATAATGCTAGAGGGTTGTACCACAAAAGGCAGAGGAATGCCTCTGGTGACAGACACACACTGCTCATTTCACCCCATCTGCCATCCCCACAGCTCCAGGCAGGATTTTCTGACTGGCTAGGGGTAGACAAACTAGAGCTGATAGGCCAAATCCCAGCTGCCACTTGTATTTATATGGCTCACAAAGAATGGTTTTTATACTTTAAATGGCTGAAAAGAAGAATAAAGATATATTTTTGATGGGTAAAATGACATAACATTCAAAATGTAGCACTTCTAAATAGAATTTTATTGGGGTACAGCCATGTCCTTTTGCTTATACATCATGTATGGTTGCTTTGAAACCCTGTGGGTGACTTGAGAAGCCATGACAGATCCTTGGAACCATAAAGCATAAAATACTATATAGTTCTTTATAGGAAAAATTTGCCAACCCCAGGCCTATCATTTTACCACACAATTTGACATAGCTAACTCTAGACCCAAATATCGGATTGCTCTATTATCTCCCAATACCGTACAGACTTTGTCAGGCCTAAATAACTTTTTCAGCAGCTTCTCTTTCAGTGATTAGAATTCATGATAACAGGAGACATGTTGGGGATGAACAGCTGCATCGGCTGTGGTGGGGACTAGTGAGGAGGGTGGCTGAAGGCAATGAGACAGAAGGAATCCCATATGAACTGATCCATAATGCTCCTAGGTTTTGTGAACCAGTTTTGGGGAATAGGGATTTGGGTGATAGCTCCAGGTAATAGTAGTATCCCATTTAAAGTTCACAAACCATCAGCGAGGTTTGACATTAACTAGGTATACTTAAGAATCACTTGCTAACCACCTCCCTGATCATTTGTATATGTTTTCTTCTGGGTATTAAGGTCTAACCATCTAGAAGGACTGGGATATCCTACAGGACCCAAACACAAGGCATGGAGGCTTCAGTAGAAGACGCAGAACCTTGGATGCCTGTAGGGTAACCTGCTGTGCTAAATCTGATAGCTCCATTTCCTCTTTGCTTTCTGCCTTTGTCTCTCTCTAGGTGGAAAGAGCTGGCTTGAACTAGACATAAACACTCAAAGGAGCAAGCGGCCCAAGAGCCCTGCACGCTCCAGACCCGAGGCACATTTGCAGTCTCAGGCCCTGAAAATGTAGCTGGGGATACAGAGCCCCAGGAACTCATCGGTGGCTTTAGACCTCTGGAGACCAGCCAAAGACAAGTTACTCACATGCAGAGCTCTGGGTGTTCAAAGCAATGGGAACGACTGCAAACCAGAGCCAGTAACTTTAGAGAATGAGAGGAAAGAAGATCAAGCCAGGCAGCCAGAAGAAGAGCAAGTCATGCTTAACTTAGAACAAGTGGAGAAGTTTGTGGGAAAGCTGACATATGTGGGTTACGTTTATGGAATATGACATTTAACAAAATCAGTTTGAATTCTGTGACTCTGATATCATCTTTTTAACTGTATCAGCAAAACCTTAAAGGGAATAATGCCTTCTTCCTTCCTCAGTAACCCTTTTGGCTAAAATGTTTAGTCTGGGAGGAATTAACAAGTTGCTAGAACAAGAAAGGGAAGTGGTGTGGGTGAGAGGAGGGAGGGGAGCACACTGAATCCAGAAGCACAAATCTTAGCACTGCCCTTCCTAGCAGCAGAGTCACCCTGCTGGATGCAATAGGTCACAAGAATGAGGACGCTGTAACTTAGCTCACTGACCATCTGGACTTAACATTCATAGCTCGGAGACAGAAGGACAGAGCCTGTACTTCTCCCTTCAGACTAACCCCCAAATTAGTGTTCAAGTCCTTACTGTTCAGGTTTGTCCAGAAGCTTCAATTCTTCTTTGGATGTCTCATAATACTTTCTTATTTTTATCAATTCATCCTCTTGGGCTCGCTGTATTGAAAATAGAAAACAAACAAAATATTCCAAAACATAAAAAACAGATAGTGAGAATCTACCTAAGGCCACGGGCATGGGTCCCCAAGTGTGATCCCTAGCCCAGCAGTGTCTGCGTCACTTGGGCCTCACTCCAGATATAAGAAACTCCATGTGACGGGCCCAGAAAACTCTTCCAACTCATTCTGATATATGCTAAAGTTTGGCAGTCACTGGCTAATGTAAATGGTCATAACAAGCACATTCATCCAAACAGAGAGACCAGGGTAGTTGATGGCAGCCACTTTTGAGTTCCCTGTAAGCAGCTATTCTTAGCACCACCTTCTTTTCCCTCAGAGAAGCTGTCCTATCTTCCTCCCCTGGTATTTATAGTCTTCACCCTCCCTTTCCCTAAATTTCATAAGTACTTGTGGTCTGTACTACTTATTTTGTACCATTTAGTCATATACCTTCTAATTTATGCATCATCTTCAGTGGTGTGCAGATTTCCTCTGCTGTATGCTAACAAATATTGGCCCTTTATACCCCTGAGCCCACAATAATGACAGAAAGTATGTAGAAGGTACCTTGCTTTTGATATCAGTTACTGCATCCCGGTTTTATAGATAATTCCACTGAGGCTTGTACTAAATTACTGGTAGTGAGTTTTTTATTTAGAATCCTTCTTCCCACTCTACCACACTGCCCTTCGGGTACTCAACCAACACATCATTAGTTCCTCCCAGTCTGGTACTTTACACCAATGGAAAATGTGAAAAACGCCTACCCAGTTGTACAAAATAATTTCTGACATATGAAAGTGAGGAAGGAATTGGCGATCTCGCTGGGCTATATTATACTATGGAAATGCAAGGTTTCTCAAGGAACATAAATATGAAAATGAATAATCTTTTGAGTTTAGTGACTATAGCATACCATAGGGCCCCAGGCAGCTACCTGGGAAATAGTTTGACTTAGAGAATCTACTTTGATCTATGGTTTTGCATCTTAACAGTCAGTGACCAAGAACAGTTAGCAATCATGGGAATTCTGATTCTCCAGCATCATATTTCCTCAAAAGAGTCTAGAGATTCTGCTAGCTATTGCCACTTATCGTAAAATCAAAAGACCCTATATATTACAGGTCTTTTTGCTCCAGCTCCATGTGAGAGGAACTCATATACACTTCTCATATTACATTCTCATACAAAAAATAATCAGGTAGAGTCCCAGTGTACTCTGTATTGTACTATGAAAACAAAATAGGATCAAGTAGTTTAAATAACTGGGCCAACCAAGGTCACACAAGCAAGCAACAGCAGAGATGGCCCTCAAGCTTAAGACTGTCTGAGCATAAAGTCAGAACACATGTTTGCCGTTCTATGCTGCTCCCAACATTCAATGTTATTAGCTTATTTGGTCTAAAAGTAATCAAGCTGCTGTGAGGAGTCTCATTCCTCGGAGGAAGGCACTGGGCGAGTACACCAACATTAAGCAGGTGACTCACTTCCATTCATTCTGTCAGCAAGCAATAGGGCTGGGTTCCACGGAACATCCATGGTTGCTTCACTGAACCACTTGGCCTTGTGTGAGATGTAGTAGCCCAGATGCCACAGTGGGAGTGTTCTAGTTTGTTCCTCCATTGCTGGGTTTATTTTATCATATATCCCCCAGGTCACAATTCATCAGAGGGCCCAAGGTAGGAACTCAGGGCAGGAACCTGAAGGCAGGAGCTGGAGCACAAGCCATGGAGGAGCACTGCTTACTGACTTGCTCCCCTGGCTCCTGCTCAGCCTGCTTTCTTTAAACAACACAGACCCACCTGCCCAGGGGTAGCACCACCCACAGTGGGCTGGGACCTCCTATGCTCCTCTCATGTTTGTTGCATGTAAATTTGCACATCTGGGCCTGATCTTTCCCATGCTATGTTCAAGATACATGAATAGCTCAATGATTTTTGAGGTTAGAAGAAAAGATGGAAACTCCAGCTCTGTGTGTCTTTGACACTCACGTTTTCATATAAGGCTGCCAGGGTCTCCAGATCAACCACAGAGTCATCCACATTAAATATGGCTGCCAAAAAGGAAAGGGAAAAGAGAAAAAGTTAAGGGATTTGACCGAACACCAGCATTCCCTCCAGGCCCAGCTTCCACACAATAGAACCTTGCACTTTTCTTGCACAGGTTGAACCTGTCAGCTTCTTTCTGTTTGCCTTCCTTTAGCACCAGGGGGTTCAAATGAAAGCAATCCAAAATGGTTCCTATCTGTGGCCTGAGCCTGGGCCCTGCTTTATTTAATTCCTTAGGCTCTGAGTCCTTTCTGCAGTTTAATTTAGTCTCCACAGGAGAAGTGTTTGTGCTTTTAAACTAAATCAGTTTGTAGGTTTGAAGCACAATTTTAAATCTTTCTTCCCGGCTGGTAATTGAAGAGATTTAGCACTTAATGCACCAGAACTGACTCTTGCCCATTACCAGAAAGGGAAAGAAAGAAAAAAAAGACGATGTTGGCAAATTAAATGAATTCAGGCATGTGATTTCAGGTACCTTCCCATGGCCACTGCAAACATCTTGTTTGGGTTAAAAAGACAAGAAAGAGTAATAATTGCATCAATAGCAAATTAAGATTATAGAAACCTCCCAGGAGCCAGTGTTAAGGCATGTTCTCATTCCCATGGTTTTATTAGAATTATGCTTCTTGTTTTCTATCTTAAGGGAGTCATTTCACCGTTAGCTAACATGCTTATGATTTCATCTGGGGAGGTTCCTTCCTATATATGTTGGAATACACACATACAGCTTTTTAAAGCCTTAATGGAACTGGATATCAAAGTGTTTGAAAATGGCAGGGCCCACATCTTTAAATAATTATTCAAAACTAATAAGGTTTGTCCCCTCAACCCTACCTCCCTTCCCTGACTTTACATTGTGAAATTAACCAGCACGCTAGTAAATTTTCTCTGTGGCAGGCTAATTAATTTTATTAAACCAACCAGTGATACTTAGGATGCCTGAAAATTCTGCTTGCCAAACTATTCTGTTCCTTTCTATTATACAATGTTTCCTTGGAGAGGGCAGAAATCAAGGTAAAGAGCAGGTTGCTTTTGAATAGTTCTGTTCCTTCTATCATTTAGAATCACATGAATGCCTTCATTTTTAAAAAACTCAGTTTACTGAAGTCAGAGCAGAGCATGTCACTTCACAGATCACAGAGAAGCCAACCTAAAACTCCTTCACGGGTCACTTTCTCTAACTTAAACACTCAAGAGCTAGCTGTGTCTAGATTCGTAGATGGGGAGGAGAGGTGAACAGTCTACTGCTAAAGATTCCACTAAGACAGAGGGAAATTGCACTTCCAGAAAAACTCAGCTTGAAATCACAAAAGAAAAATGCAGTTAGAGGAAAGAATGGAAGAATTTAGCCTCCCAGGCCTGACACATTGTTTGCAGTAATAATACAAATTCACTAATTGGTCAGATGAACCATACATTTCTAAATGACTGATGTTTTTAAACACAGACAAATAAAAGCAGCCAGGAACAATGGCTTTTACATAAATATTCTCTTAGAAAAATTAGTTAATATGAATGAATAAGAAAGGAAACAATTCTAAAGATTTTTGTCAGGAATGCTTGCCTAAAATAAGCATACACACTAGGGGAGAGATATATGTTGCAAGTCTAAATCAAAGAATCCTCATCAGTGAGAAACAGAATGACCTATTTCTTTTCATAGGAATAAATACATAGATTTAAAGAATTAGTCAGCCTAGACCCCAGATACATGGTTCAGTGGGTTCTACTATAGTGTGCCAGGCAGCAGAATGAAAATATAAAGAGAGGATAATGCCAGAAACAAGCCCGGGCTCTGGAGAGATGTTTATTCATCCATTCACCCATCCAGACACTGAATAATTACTTGTTGAGTATGCAATCAAAATTGTTTTCCAGATACTGTTTGCAAGGGCTACAGAGATCTAAGTTGAAAATGTTAAAGATGTTTGAAGTATTTGGTCTCATGAAATTCATCACCAAGACTGGGAGAGAAAAATAAGTAAAAACATAATTTCAGATGACATTATACTTCGAAGTAAGTAAAACTGAGCTGGGGGTGTAGCTCAGTTGTATGGTACTTGCCTAGCATGTTCCTGGGTTTGATCCTTAGCACTCAAAAGAACAAGAAAAAGAACAAAACGTAACATGAAATAGCATGATCAAGAGGCCTCTGGAGGAAGGTGACATATAAGTGAAGACCTAAAATGGTCTATTTTGTGACTATCCTGAAGAACATTCTGGGGAGAGGTAATGGTAAAAGCAATAGCTAGTCTTATTCCTTGATGATCTAACATGGTAAACTATCTAAGCCTCAGTATATCTGTAAAACAGACCTCATACCCCTCCCTCACTGGGAATATTCGGTGAGGTAGTAGGTATGCTTGCCATAGGACATAAACCAAAGTAAAAGTTCATGATAGAACCTAAGACCTACGACCATTATGACTTCAAATACACGCACCGATCATAAGTTCTGATGCTTTTTAATGCCTTATCTTGGAACACCTATAAGGAGAAAAAGAAGACTACAGGCAGCACTCCCAATTCACCCTGGAAATGCAAATGCTCAGAAATCTTGTGTGCTTCAGGTGGTCTTTGCTGTGAAACCCTCTTGGTCCTTCCTTTAAAACTCCACCCAAGGCATAACTTCAGGAAGCATTAATAATGGGACAAATATAGACACAGATACTTCTAAGTTATATAATATATGAAATATCCTAAAGGAAATTAAATACCTCTAGGCTATTGAGATAGTTAACCTAATGTTTATCCAGAATTTCAGTCTTTCCAACCAGTTTGTCCATCATTGTGCCATCAAGGTTAGTTAGTTAGTTAACTGGTTAGCTAGTCATTTAGTGAACGAATGAGTTAGTCAGTTAGTTATTTGTTAATTTGTTTCTTTGCAATGTTGGAGATCTAGGGCCCAACTCATACTAGGCAAATGGTCTAGCATGAAGCTATATCCACCAATTTCTTTCTTTCCTTTTTTCCTGATCAGTTTGATAGGCAGTTGGTTCTGTGTGAGACTGGGGAACCTGTAGATGAGGGGAATGTGTGAATGGATGAGGGGCTGGGGACCTGTGGAAGGGGGGTCAGTGGTGCTGTGGAGCCTCAGGAGAGAGTGGGACAGCAGTAGGAACTGAGGCCCGTGGTGGCACATACTTGGCATCTGGACACTCAGGAGGCTGAGGCGGAAGGATCACGAGCTGGAGACTAACCTGGGCTACATAGGAGACCCTGTTTCCAAAAGGTGAAGGAGATGAAAGTGAGCAAAGGTTAAAAGTGGAAATCTTTCTTTCTTTCTTTCTTTCTTTCTTTCTTTCTTTCTTTCTTTCCAGTCTTGATATTTAGATTGGTGCTTAAATACTTCTGTGGTCCCTTCTTCAAATACTGGGTAAAGTTCAAATTCCTTGGCCTGGTTTTAAATTCAATCTGGCCCCCAACTACACTTCCAGTCTCACCTGTGACTTGTTCCTCCACACACCTCAGTGCAACTCTCCAACTCACATTCTGGCTTCTTCCCTTTCCACATCCCACCTACCAAAGCCCAGTGGCCAAAGATGACCTGCCCCAGACGAACAACTATTGACTCACAAATCATAAAGTCCTCCATCTTTTCTTCTGCCACAGCATCTCATCAAATTTTAAATGAAGACAGTGTAAAAATGTATATTATGTCAAATTGTGTAATAGTTTCCCTCCCCCACTAGAGTGAAAGAGTCCCCTAGTCAGAGGTGGTTCTTTAGGCATTTTTGATCATGCTAACTCCCACAATAGGACCTCAAGTAAAGTAGGTGTACAATAGCATGTGTGGATGTGATACAGGAGCAGGGCTCCCTAAGAATGAGTCCTCTTGCTGGATGTAAGGAACATTTCTTGACAAGAAGAGCATGGTATCTTGAAAAAGAACACAGGGACAGTGAAGGGGGACAGGATTCAGATACTTGCTCCTTCTCAATTTGCTTCTGTCTGAAAATCAAGGTTTTCTCAACAGTTGCATATTCCTGTAGTTTACTCATTGACTCACTATAGATAAACAGCATTCCTGAATGTTGTAGAACAAAAGTAATTACATTTAATAAATAATTTTCCATCATTAACGAATGAATACGACAAATACCTTTCCTACCATTCTTATCTCCAAAAGATTTTTAAATGGAAATGTTACTTCAGGATAAAAGTTTAAAAGTTAATGTTCAATGGGCATATTGCTTAAGGCGGACCCCTAAACCATCCACTTGTTAGTCATCATTAATCAAGCTAAGGTCTTTCAGGCAAAGGCAATTTCTAAATTTACAGTGAGTGTTAGGGAATATCAACTGGAAGGATATGAGACAGTGGAAGGGGGGGGGGATGCAGACTAGCTCACAGACTCTTCTAGTCATGGCAAGTATTTTGACTTGAAAAGAATTAAAAGGATAAGGGGGAAGTGCTCCAAACACAGTTTGGGGTGAGACCTTGTGGAATTTAGAGCCATGTTAAAGAATCTGCAGTGCACTTCAGGTGCATTTGGGAGTCACTAGGCAGTGTTGAGTTGAGAAGTCCACTCTACAGTGATGTTATACAGGATAGGTAGAAAAAATGGACAGTTTAGAATCTATTGCAGTGGACAAGAGTAGCGAAAACCTAAATGGTATGGACAAATGCGGCAGGGCAGGGGAGAATGACTCTGGGGCACTCTCTAGTGATACCTTAACTAGCTCTGGTGACAGGAATATGGAGAGTAAAACCACCCCAGGGCTTTAAGCCAGATTCCTGGGAGAACCCCAGTGCCATCCCCTCAGAAGCAGCTGATGGACAAGAAAGCATTCAGAACTTGATCTTTCTCCCAATATTTATGGAGGAATGGAGCAGAGGAAAAGAGATTGCTAAAGGAAACAGCATGTAAGAGAGATTGATCGGGTCCTATTGTTATGTTTCCATTGAAGTGTCACTTCTTCCAGATATGGATTCTACAATTAAAATAAAATTGAAAAATTCAAAGAAGGAGGAAGCAATGTCAGGTGATTAGCTAGCTGAGCTT